TAAGAACACGTCTACACATGAAGTTTAAGAAAGAATATGAATCGTCGAATCACTATTAGAGAAGCTGCAGAGTATGTCGGCATATCGGTGGGCTTGAGCCATGCAATTTTTTCCGAAATTATGGGCATGAAACATGTGGCAGCGAAGTTCGTTCCAAAATTGCTGAATTTTGACCAAAAAACCGTCGAATGAGGGTCGCTCAGGAATGACGTCTACGGCAATCCAGATTTGCTTAAAAGGGTCATAAATGGTGACGAATCATGGGTATATATGAAATCAAAACCACAGTCCAATCGTCCCAATGGAAGATACCAGAAGACTTTTCACATATAGTCAGTGGGCATACTTGAAGACTGACTATAAGTCAGTCTTCAAGGAATTGGGCAAATTTTGGATATGTGGTTGGTTACCTCCGTCACAGGCAAATGGGGCGATGACAAACCTATTGTTTGTTGTCCGTTTCAGCCTAGTTCGAGGAATGATACTCTGAAGGAATTCGATTTTCAATTATCGGAAATCATCGACTTTATGTTGATGATAGACACTACCTTGCACTGACGAGTTGCCAAACAGCCCGAAACCGGTATACAACTGTTGGATATAATCCAACGCCCTTCGTGGTATTAGCCAAGGGAGTAGTTGTTTTCTGTTAGGTGTCAGTCCATTAACCTACAGTGACCAGGAGAGCCAAGACCAAAAACAGCATGTCGAGTTGGGTCGAATATCAAGGTTTTGCTCAATGTTTCATTCGATTACCGTGGCGTAGTGCATCAGGAGTTTCTGCCACATGGTCGTACGGTCAATAAGGAGTATTATCTTGAAGTTATGCACTACTCACGAGAAGCAATATGAAGAAACCGTCCGGTATTGTGGAAAAACAATGCATGGCTTTTGGTTCACGATAATGCACCTGCTCAATCGGCACTGCTTTTTCGAAGGTGTTCGTGAATATTCCACACATTTTAGAATATTCCGAAACATTCTGGAATGTTCGGAAATGATCTGGAACGTTTAGGATTATTCCAGAATATTCAGATCATTGTGGAGAGATCAAGAAGGCATATGTTATGGTAGCTCTTTATTCACCATCGATGAAAAAAGTTTCTGTTTTTACTGTGCTTCTAAAGATATGAGAGCCTTCTAGAAATTTTCAAATCAGTTCAGAACATTCGAGAGTATTGGTGAATATTCCAAAATATTACAGAACATCTCAGAACGTTAGTCTGGAACGTTAAGAAAAATCCCGGAACATTTCATTCCATTGTAAAACGATCACGAGAGTTAGATATATGGTGTGGTAGTCGTCTATCTCCCATCCAAAAAGAAGGTTTTCCTTCTCAATTGAAGAGCGTGCTTTTGAATATATGAGAGCTGGAAATTTCCCCCTCTAGGAATTCATATAATAATCCAAAACAATCGAGTATTCCTGAACGTTCCATTCCAGAAGATACCAGAAAATTCTGGAACGCTCGGGAACATCCTGTTCATTGTGGAACATTCTTGAATAGTCTTGAATTCTGCGGAATATTCTGGAACATGGTGGAAACTTTTTTTGCATGGGTGGAACTTTCCATTGGTAAGATTATATGAAGCTAGGTCAATCGATCTGTTATAATTTGAAGGTTATCCACTTGACAGTTTACAAAACCGCTACACGTGTTTCGCATGTGAGTATCTTCAGGCTCACAATACTCATTGTAACAATACGTACGAGTATTGTGACGCCTGAAGATGCTATTTTATGGCGAAACACGTGTCGCGATTTTATAAACTATCAAGTGGAGATCTCACATTACAGTGTTTTTTGAATACGTGAATGATTCACCACGTGAAACGAATCCGACGCATTTCCGGTTTGATACCAGGGGGTTAAAAAACCATTTTATCATCATGCGCTCCTATCCTAAACTCCTATAATTTGAATTGTATAGTCTGAAAGACAATCATAATGTGCATGTGATGGTCAAGGCAAGTAACGTATTTATTTGATAAGGATTAATTTTGTATACGTCTAAATAACTTTCCAATTACCAAATTATATCTGACAATTATTTTAAACATTAAAATGGCTATAGTAGACCGTCCTTAAAAGAAAGACATATACCATCGCTGACTTTTTTTGTGGACCTATAAAAGAAAATCAATATGTATTGAATTGTTTTGTTTATTTCAAAGAGATTGGGCAGCGTTTTTTATTTAAAGATCCCAGGGTAGCACTAGCGCCACGACTTCTCACCATAATATCGTCATATTTCAACCACAAAACGTTAATGAATTATGCACACAAGCCTTCATCTTCGTTTATCGCGTTCAGAGAATCAGACAGACATACAGACAGACAAACTTCAAACTCGAAATTTCATCAAATTCCAAGTCTAAACACGAAATTTTATCAAATAATTATGTTGAATCAAATTAATTTTATTTCCAAGAAAATGCATTATTGCTTGTTGTTGATAGAATCAAATACGTTCATTGACAATTTTCATTGAAACAGGAATACGATGCAAGGACGGTAGGTTTTCGAAAAAACGTGAGTCAATTGATTGTAAAATATCGGTATATAGACTCCGACAACCGACGGAATCGGTAGGCCGACAAAAGAGGAAAACTCCGCACACACTTGTTAGGCCGAATGCCCCTGGGTTTGGGGGCGTCTATAAATATTTGTGTTCGGAGGAAAGTCCCGGTGAAAATCTCTAGTAATAATCTGCGTATATATCCCGTGTAGTCTCCAGGCATTCGCTCGACCTCGGGGCCTAAGTGAACCTCTACGAGCCGATATTAAATTTGTATTTTTACGCTGATTCCGTAGAACATTCTGGAAACGTGACCAGAAAGTAAACCGGAGTACTATTAACGATCCGGAAACAGCAGCATTACGTTGGTCAAAATCTATTCGCGCGTCGTCGCACAGACACAACTCAGCCATCATGGATGTCTGTCTACAGGGCGACGGGTAATATCTCGTCATCCGAGCTCACCAAAAATTCCAATTTTTCATTTTCAATTATGTTTTTTGTTGGCTGATCACGTATGTGATAATAATAACGTTCACTTTTAAAAATTTTACACAGTATATATCCTTCAATTTTATTTAAAAAAAATGGAAAAATTGAAAGCTACGCCAAATTTAAATAAAACAAAGTTTGTGTGAGATATCACCAAACTTTTTTATTCGTTTGAAATACATATTAGCCATCATGTGTGAAATATAACATTGTTCAAATGTCCGCGACGGCTTCTCTGGGTGGAGCGCATCCAGAAGGTCCAATTTTCCGATCTCATGTGGATTGGTATCGTCTCAAATTCGAAAATTTCATTTGTTCACGTACCCGTTCATCCAGAAATGGGCCTCATCGCTGAAGACAATATTTCTATGAAAATTAGAGTTAGTTGCTAACTGCTTCAGATCCCATTCAGCGAACACGAACATTTCACGATCTTCGTGATCCTGAAATGTTCGAAGCGCGCGCTACGTTGCCCGAACAGAACACCCATTTTGATTAAACGTTATTATTATTTGGACGTGTTGCATGAATGCTCCAGAACAGAAATCCGCAGGTTTCAATTTAATATTTTGATTATGACAGTACTAGATACTCTACTGAGACAACTCATGAGTAAGTAAATTATATGAACCTCCTAACGTGTGTTAGGAATCACACGTTAAAAGGTAAGACCTCGTTAGTTCTTAGCTCGCACAATTTGTGAGAGTTGTCATTCGTCACTAAAACAAATATTATGTAGATAGGTAGGATGCCTTGCAATGGTTTCCGTCATGATTTCGCAGAATTCTGTTCTTCGATCAGGGTCATCTTCAGTTAATTAGTGTACCATTTTAATTTTGTATGGATCTCTTCAAAAGTCTCCACACAGTAGAAGGAGATACCTCACAAACATTCGCGACGGAATAAGTAGACTGTTCAGGATTTACTACCATCTCACCAGTTATTTGCACTAGCTGTTCTTCCCGAATGGACGGATGATCTGGGGGCTTTTTGTTATGTGCACTACTGGTAGTTGTGAATTTGGATACAAATTACCTCAAATATTTTATACAGATAGGACGATTCGGAAAACGTTCATTGAAAATTCATTCGGTCTCGTGAAAGTTACGCGTCGCACCAATGGACGAGAATTGACCGTTTCAAAGATTGTTGACATGGTACCTTTCTACTAGTAAAACCAAAAACTAAATGAGAATATTCTAACTGAACAATGATGTTCATTGTCGTACTAACATTTTTTGCCGTTTTTATAAACAAAAAATAACTTAACAAACCTTATCGGGTTGTTGGAATTGCCATATGACAAATAAAAAGGAATATTTCTAGAAATATCGATATCAATGTGTTTGTCTTCAGGAAATTATTAAATGTTTCGCCATTTTGTAGTAGGTGAAAATATTGACTTCATATTCTAGGGTTGTGAAGTATTCGTCAGAAGCTTCAGTTAATGCATCCAGAGGCGTCAAGTAAGTCGAGTGAGTCGGGAGCCGGCTCTGCGGTATCATATCAAGGAACGATATATTTCAACAATGAAATCCTATTGTTGAAAAATACGATTTATGTATTCTATTCATATATTAGAACTTTGCGTCTTTAATAATTATACTTTCAAACAAATGTTATGTTTGAAAGTTCTCGTTATTCAGGTAATACAATTGATTTAATTCGATAATTCATATTTTGTTTTTACATCGATGCATTCAACTGAGCATATTTCAGGAAATAATTTTTATGAATACCACTCGCCCTAAAAATGCGGGTTTTTTCTGGGCAAGATATGACATTGAAGTCTCGTATTACCCAAAATTATGAAATTTGAATCATGTATCGTTCGAATCGATAGAGTGATAAAAAGAAAACTTCCACATGTCGCGAACTTTATGTGTAACACTGTATATATAAACTGACTCGAGTATGTTTAAGTCAGATGAAATAATCGATTGTTGAACCTGATTCACACCATTCATTGATAAGAGGGAAATAACTCACCTGGTGGACTGTAGTTTCCGATAGTAGCTTCGCAACCTCACGTACAGAAGTAGCTGTCTGATCAGTGAACGTTCCGTCAGTTAGACAAGAATCGAGAAGATGCATAGTCTTCTCGTCTTGCCTGAGATCTTTCTGAAGTTGTTCCAGTCTTGATTCCAAGGTTTTCCAAGCAGGAAGAAGACTTTCAATTTGACATAACTTATCGGCAACACTGAAAAAAAAAACAGTGGAAATTCAGTTCAGGAAAATAGGCTTTCACTGTTTTGGAGTCACGATTGAAGAGAACAAAATCTAGGCTGACCGACCGACTGACTGACTGAGAGTCAGTCGTAACTTAGACTATAACCAGATATAACTTTTGCGTCCTCACAGTTCTGGTATCTGGTATCTGTAGAGAAGGGAGAGTGAGAGTAGACCCACAGCACTTAGGCCACATGTGACCCATTGTACATCCTCCCAAGGAGTTGTCCTCCTAGGTCATTGTCCATCCTTTCTTTTCCAGGAAGGTGGACAGGCCACTAGGATACATCTCCTTCATATCGGGAGGTGTAGGCCAAGACTCGCCGAAGACATACTCTCTTTGGCAACCTTGAGGTGTCTCAAGGTGGCCTTCGCGAAGGTTTTGGAAGGTGCAGCGATATTACTGTCGTAATATCGCTGCACCTACTTCAACCTGCGGCTTCAACTGCGGCTTCTTCAACTTTCTTGGGTTGAGGGACCTTTCCTGCAGAGACAGCTGGTTCCTTGCCTTTATTCAAGGCGGAGCTCTTGGCGTCCGCCGCAGGAAGTGCCCTTGCTGTTGGAGGTGGTCTGCTATGTCCAGCCTCATTCCAAGCGGTAGATTGAAGTGGACATTTCTGTTCATCCCCAGCCACCGCCTTAGACTGAGGTGAGCACTTCTGTCCAGCCTCGGGATTGGTTTTTGTTTTTGTTGTTTCTGTTTTTGTGTTGTTTCATTCATGTGTGTTCCCACGAGTAGCAAGGAAAGAGTAGGTCATCTCTGGCAGAGCCCCGCATTACCAGATAGTAGGCTGATTACAATGAGATTTCGCCCAGTTCCACAAGGGGATCGTTCGTGACCGCATATCACTCTGCGGCCATTCAGCTGTCGGCACGATTCCTTACAACTTAGCTTGGGTAGGCTGGTCCACGGTGGCATATTTTGCAAAGGCTTTTGGTGGGTTTTAGTTCCCCTCACACTACTTATTTCTGCCACTGACCAGGAGTCCGGCGACCCCGTCCGTCAGGCCACATTACTTATCGGACAGGGCCTCCATTCCCCTGGCCGTTTCCCTATCCGCCACCTGGGGACGTGCCCGATAGGTAGCCCAACCCACGGGGTCCTCGCAGTTAACGCACGGAGGAAACATGGATCTTCAGGTTCCATCCGCCACGGCCTACAAGCTCAGATTTTGTTCTCTTTTAGCAAACTCAGTTTGTTTATAAATTTCATAAACAATCTTACCGTGTACGTGCATTGTCGAATAATTCGTATAACTCTGAAATTTTTGTTTTCAATGTAGAACCATTGAAATGTTCAGACGTTTGATTTTCAATAGTGTATCGATGTACAAGGGCATTAAGAGATGCTAATTTTGCTCCTTGGCTGGTGATGGTCTCCAACAATCTCTGTAACAAAAAGTTGAATATGATACATTGAAAGGGATATATTTTCAGGGGAGAATAAATTTTGGGAAACAAAGGTTTTGTATTTATATTTCTTCATTTTTATGGAGAAGTAGATGGAGAAATAGAAAGCCAAAACCTTTTCAATTCATAATGAATTGAGGGCATGATCATCTCACGTGGAGGTGATATGAACTAGACACCGAGATTGTGCGATTTGACCCCGTTACACTTCTTCTTGTGGGGTTTTCTTAAGTCGCAGGTGAATGCGAATAAGCCACAAACCACAGCGGTCCTCAAAGCCAACATAACCTATTCCATTGGTCAAATTTTGCCTGACTCATGCGCGAGGGTCATGGAAAATTGGAAGTTTCGGATGAGCTCCACCCAGAGAAGCAGTGGGGGCATTTGAACGATGTTCTATACCACACAAAATGGTATCAATAGGCCTATCAAATGAATAAAAACTTTCAATGATATCTCACACACACTTTGTTTTATTTAAATTCAAAGATAGGAAGCGTTTAATGAAATACCCTGTATAATGTATCTGAATCTATGTTCAGGTTTGATGAGGAAGGTGGCTTGTGGGATGGAACTTTCCACCGCGGCTTAGCATTTATTAATGGGATCATCTGGTGAAATTAAGAATTGATGGATTGTATGAAATCACAAGTTTTGTCGATGTAAATGTAATCAGGAATGGCAATGACTGTGTTACTTTTGTCTGCTTTTGTGAACGAGAAATCGTTGTTCTGACTCTTCTGATTTATTGAAGTTGGTGTTTTGTGTTCAGAATTATGTTTTTGTGAATTCAAAATACCTATTATTTTTAATGATGTGAGCTGCTGTATGTTTGAGGTTACTTCAAGAATTTGTGGACATTAGTACTTCCATGCCTAAGATTCATGAGTTCTTTGATCAATCAGTAGTTTTTATGTCATATTTGAAACTTTCATTGAGTATCTGCATTTCTGTTTCGTAGAATTGTGTGTCAGTGAAGTTGTGGAAATTGTGTGGTAGAACTATCTGATGGTTTGGATTTGATAAGTCTATTTATTTTGTCTAATGAATTTCTTGTGATTGATGGTTTTTACTTCCTCTCTAATGTTACTGTCCAAAAGATCAATAGGATGTAATCTATGGTTCTGAATGTATAACCTTGAGGTAGATGTTGCAGGTGTACCTTTTGCAATACTGGATATTTTTTTCCTGGAGCCACTTCTTCTGTCCATTCTGGATACGTTTTCGTTGGGACACACTTTTGGTATTTGTTTTGAGTTTAATAAACTTGGGTATACTAGTATAGACTACCAGTCCAATTAAGGAAACTGCTATGCAGTAAAACGCGTTTCCTATACGCGTCGATATTGACGTCAATATTGTGAAAATATTCAGTTATTATCATGAATAGTGCCATTTTTTAAGACAAAACACTAGCACTATAGGAAAATCCTTACGGCGCTCTTAAAGCGGTGCCTGTGCAAAAGTGGCGATTCACATTGGATTTGCATCACCGAAGATTAAATCCATTTGGAAAAACGTTCTCAGGCAGTTTATTCCACATAAACGCAGTTTTCCAACTAAATGAATTCCTGCACAGTGAAGTTTGAGGTGTACTGAGTCGAACCTCGAAACGATGAGCAGCGTATTTCTAACATGTACCGCTCTTGGTGGAATCAAATGTGCCAAGTCACTTGAATACTTCCCGTGGAAGTATCTATAGAAGAAAGACAAATCCCCAACCTTTCTTCAATGTTCCAGACTATCAAGGTTGCAAGTGATGTTCGCGTCTCCAATCAGGTATATGACTCTTTTCTGGATGAAGTCAAGCAGCTTCAGAGTATGTTTAGGGGTGGGGCTCCATACATGAGAACAATAGTCCAAAGAAGGTCTGATCTGAGCTTTATAAAGCATCAAAAGTTGCTGAGGTGTGTACAGTTTTCTGGTTCGGAACAATGTTCCAAGCTTTTGAGAAGCAGCTTTTCCAATTTCAACGACATGATTGTGCCAAGACATATTGGTGTCAATTTTAACCCCCAACAAACTTATCGAAGCAGAAAGCGGAATTGTCTGTCCCGTCATTATTGTATCTGCTTCGGAGGCATTTATCTTTTTGGAGAAAACCGATGCCTGGAGCTTTGTGGTATTGAATTGAACCTGGATACTTTAACCCCAATTCGAAATAACTTCTAGATCCTCATTAAGATATGCAACCTCCTGCTGCCGGTGAAGATGTGCCTCCGTAGCCGATATTCTGAAGTCCAAATGGAATTTCGAGACAACGATGCTTTCGTCAGCAAAGCAATATATTAGATTCTTGCTTTTTTCCAATGAGTCGTTGATATACAATAAAAAGAGAATTGGAGACAATACGGATCCCTGGGGAATAGCAGCATTGATGGTAAACATTTTAGAGATACCCATGAACGGTCACTTGCCGAGAACGTTCTTTTAGGAGGCTGGAGAGCCATATACAAAAATTATCCGAAAAGCCATAGCATTGGCCAGCAAACCCTCATGCCACACACGGTCAAAGGCCTTAGGAATATCAAGCGCCACAGCTCTTGACTCTTCATGATTCTCGATTGCATCATTCCAAATATGGGATCTTTGTTTCCGAAAGCTATATTGATGATCGCTCAAGATGTTGAAGGCCTTTCAAATATGTGAGGATATGGTGGTTCACGACTTTCTCCATGATTTTTGATATCTCTGATAGCAAAGCGACTGGTCTGTAGTTATTTGGAAAATTTTTCTTGCCCTTTTGGGAATAGGTTGAACTCGAGCAATCTTCCAACAAGAAGAAAAAACTCCTTTCTTGTAAGACAGGTTGAAAAGTCTGCAAAATACTGGTGCGAGTTCATTTGCGCACGTTTTAAGTACGATGACGTGCACTTCATCAGAACCAGACGCCTTGTTGATATTGAGCTGTTTCAAAATTCGCCTGACTGACGAAAAGTAATTTCCGGCATTGTAGATTCTAGTGGTGGAATAGTGGGTTGTGCCTTTTCCAGAAAATCGACTGTGGAATTGGACGCAAATTGTTCAGATTGAAGATTTGCTTTTTCTATAGCTGTTGTTGCAATTGAACCATCCGCTTGTGTTAGTGGTGGAATTGTCATTGATTTTCACCAACTAACGGGCCAGTGTATAGAAAGAGTAAATTATGCTTGTTGCGAAAAATACTACCATATCCCTAACATATTCAACAGGTTCATGTTCTACTCCACCGCGACTTTCCATTACGAATGAAATTTTCCCAGTAGTTCATTCAAAGCGTGAATTTATTCAATATTGAAATTTTGTTCACAATAACCATTTTTAGACCGAATATGTGGTTAACATGTGGGCTGAATCATGTGAAGATTATTGAACGATAAAACTTCCGAATTCAGTGAACTTGACAAAAAAATCATAACATCAAACTTCAAGTGAAATACTCCCATAAATCCTGGCACGAAAGGTACCGAACTCGAACCTATCATCAAAACAGACAGAAAAAACCGGAATGCAAGCTCGTACACGCTTCATCCCATCTGCGCTGCAGACGGCAGCATTGCACGGCCACGGGGCATATAGGAGTCCCTCAGGGGCATTCAAGTGCCCTTCCGTCCAAGTAGCAGTGCCAAGATGGTCATCTATATATCCCTGGCCACAGACATTCATAGCCGCTTGCATATAAATTACTCAAATTTATTGCCTCGCTCGGACACGACCTCATTTAAGTATTGACAGGGCCGCAAGAAAGTCTTACTAATTCAGGCCCATCTACGAGAATTGACCATATCGTTTCGGATGTACGAGGGGGTCGGATTGCAGGGGTTTCAAAACAGGGACACTTTATTTCAAACTGATGCAGTGTTTTTAGATGTTTTTGGGGTCTAACGTTACATAATCTGAAAAATAAATAAATCTACACAAAGAATCTACGTGTGGCAAATGAATTTAAAAAGTGAAAGAAAAATTAATGCGACAGCAAATCGTAACTCAACGACACTGCATTGGCGGTTCAACCTTAGCCGACAATAGGGTTATAAATAAATTTCGAAATATTCATCTCTCCCAACTACCTACACAGTAAGTTCTTGGTGAATACCTGTCGGAAAACAACTACTTTCCCGGCCAATACCAAGCTGGATATTGAATTATATCCGACAGACATTTATGCAAGATACACCACAGAGGTTAGTCTCGCAGATGTTTCTCGTTCATACAACAGCAGAACCATGCTGAAATCATTCGAGTACATCACCTACAGACCGGTTTCGAGGTATTACCCCTCATCAGTGCTCTTATCAAACATCAAAGTGCCTGGGACTCTATTAATTTCAACGCGGCTCAACTGCATGTATGAAACCTTCGTCTAAGAAAGATTGTTAACTAGTAACAGCTCCATCTCGTGACTCAATATCCAGCGTGATATTAGCTGGGGAAATAGTTGTTAGATGTCCATGACTCCAAATCTAGATGTATTTTTCAATGTTAAACAACTCTTCTGAATAACATTTCCCGAAATTTTTCAAAATAAGAGTACTTTACTCTTGTCATAAAATCAAATATTTGAAGGCTCCTCGTATACTACGTGTGTTTTACTGTACTTTGTTGGTGCATGTTAAGTTGTAGGGGATGCACAAAGTTTTATCAAGAATAACTTTTTGTCGAAAAATCCTTAATAAATAAGTTTCCCATATGGTGCATACTTTGGGGATAACACTGTACATGTATATTTCACTTTGTAGAAAGAGTTTTATTTACTCAAAAATCAAAATGGTTCGTTCATTACCCCTGAGTTTATAGAAAATAATACAATATATGTGACCGCTAGTTAAAGAACAGATTTTTCAACCGTTTGACTTAATATCGCCACGAAGGACGTGTATGTATAGACAAAATAGTGAAAAGGAAGTGTCTAGGTACACAATGAAAAATAACTGATAACTGACATCCTCCTGGAGTTGTGTAGGTGCCGAATGTCGACTCGGCGGGTCAAATTATAGACTAAACAGACTTTCCTGAGGTTTCTATTACGTGGTAACTTTTCGGGGCGAACTTTTTTAGTTTGCCTTTTTATTATAGATATATATATTCATTTCACGGATTGTTTGTGGAAGGTTGAAAAACCAAAAACATCGAGAAATAGTACCCTTCGGCGAAATAACTGTTCAACTGAGTGTAATTGGGAGATTTTCATTATGTATAGTTTGTGAACAGGGCGATGGAAACGTGATATTGAAGTGGATCATGCGATAATATTGAATCCTATCCCCCCCATGCCCCCTCCCGGGTTGATTGCCCTGAGTTGAAATCTTCCCCGCACGGTTAATATGTGCACAACTTCCCATCTCGTCCAACCACTGCCGCTCCTCCGGAGCGGTCCTCAACTTACTGATGGGCACTTCAGCAAGATTGACATCTGACCTTCTTTGGTCGAAAGTCAGCCTCTAGGTGCTTTTACTTTCTGATCTGTTGAATTCACATTTGTGTCTAGCTCCAACGAGAAATACGAATATTATCTCGTCACCTATCTCGTAAATGATAATTATAAAGGATTAGTAGAGGTAGGGTAGGTTCAAAATTAGTCGGTCTCCCAGACCCTCTACTGCAACCCGCAAGGGTATATTGTGGCTCACACCTAGACGCTCTCCTGATCCTCCCATGTATTCTATAGCCATCTAGGTCGGAATTTGCTACTTTGGAATCGTTCCTGTGGCCCATATTCTGGAGTAGCCTCTACGGCAGTCATCGTTGGTCAGGGAAGCTATAGATTTAGTTATAGACGACCCCTCCCGATATAGAAGGCCCCAACACTCTGTCGCATGAGGCCCTCATGTCCTCCATTATTAGATGAACAATTTTTTCATCCATTCACCCCAGCTAGGTAGGAGTACACCGTGAAGGAAGACACTGATGTCTGAGGGCATTAATGTCGTCATCCCATCAGTCATAACCCATTTGTCCCTCTGACAAACATCAGTCGAAAGTGTAAGGGAACCAGACTCCAACCTAACCAAAACCAAGACGACTTTTCACCGGCAGTCATAATGACAGTTTATTCCAGTTGATTATTCCATATGTGAGTCATCTTATTTACCGCAGCAGCCTTCCCATATGACAGTATCTGTTAGTCAGCTACACCTGACGATACAACCACTGTCCTGAACGTCTTCTGTTGTAGATGATCCACTTTTCATCAGGAATCGATTCAAAAATGGATTGTTTTGGTTGCCCAAAAAGATCCAGTCAGCCATGCACGGCTTTTTCGCCTCTGGTTTAGGTGAAACATCGATTGGGCAAAAGCGTTTGTAGGACTTGCTCAGAGAGACATTGTTTACTCTTCTGCTGCACCACCTAGACTTCTAGGTTTGATAACAGGTTCAAGAGTCGAAGAAGTTGTTGTTGAAGAGTATTATTCTCTAATGAAATCAAATTGGAATATTACAGTTCCTGTCACATGTCCCACTTTAGGTACATATTATCCAAAATGTCACTAATCCCAACTAAAACAATTTTGCAAGTTTTCCCTAAAGAAATATGGCCCAACGATTCGTTTGTCAAACATTCCGCACCACACAATGGATCTGAATGAGTAGGTACTGCCTGGATTTTCTTGAACTAATCGTTCCTGTTGAAAAAAAATTTGCCCCTTCTGTCCACAAAATGTTACACAAAAATCGAAAATCTCCTTATTTTTCTTATTGATAACAAAAACCCCTATGGGACATTAATAAATTCGGCATACCATAAATTCATTTTGTCAATGAAATCTTCCAACTTTTATAGAACCAAGTGTTTTCGTAATATTAGCGATTCTGGTTTCTCTATTTTCAACAATATTCAAATGAAAGTTAGGCCTCTTTATTGTACCTAATAGGAACGTGCATTTTTTAAAACGATTTTCTGCGGAATCACGTTCATTAGTCCACACCATTATTCATGTCACAGTAATGAATTGATTGTTTGTTGCCTTCAGAATATCATTGTTTGAAAATATTCGCAACTTATCACTCAAAGGCCATTTTTAAATGATTCTCAATTCGGTAAATGTTGCGACATCTAGCAGGAACACTGTTAATACGAAATGTCTAAATTATATAACGAAGTAGTAATCATTTTTGCTATTCACCAAGTATTACAGAAATCCATAAAATAAACGTCTGCCGTTACATCGCGCTTAGTCTATTCCATCAGAGATGGCGCCTCAACTATGAAATGATGTTCAATTTGTTTCAGGAGAGGTACAAGCAATAATTATATTTATGTAACATTCTATGGTTAATTTATCAAGTTTTTCACATTAAACTTTTTTGGGAATTCATCGGTATTTTTTAATATTTCTGTTCCTATTTAGAATTCTGTCAATTCTCTGTGTATTATGTGTATTATTTTCGGAAGAGAAAGTATTACAACCACAGAAAAAAGTAAAAATATCAACTTCAGTAAGTACTACAAATTCAGAATTAAATTGTGTGGTAGTGAATTGAATGAATTTAATATTTTACTTCAAAAAATTATCTGTTATGGCTGGAAAGATGTCAAATATTTAGACAGTGATGTATACTGTATAATGCGCCCTCTACTATTCGAAGTCTTAAGTATCAAAGAAAAATTTCTCACCGTACCGAGAGGTTACACACAGAATTCAGAGATAGCGCTGCTATAGAAATTTAGTATATTAATCCAATGTTTTCTTTAAAGCGGGGAAGTATTATAATAAAAAAAAAGAAAGTAAATTAGGAATTTTCAGAGCTATTGAGACATGATAGTGACTAAATGACTAGACGAATGAACTATGGTGAAAAACCCAAAGAGTAGTGATCATAAAACGAAATTACTGAAGTTCTTGAAACTAACAATTTCTTATATTTTTTTTTCTACTGATCGGGTAGTTTCAATCTAACAAATCATACAAGAATAGTACTCACATTGCAGGCATCTATTTCATTATGGATGTCCTCCACGGGACAATCTTGTTTTAATATTTTCTTCGTTTCCGGCATATTGAGTGATTCAATGAAGGATTTCAGTTCCAAGATTTGTTTGTGTAGTCTTCTATATTCGTCCATGGCTGAAATTTTTATCTTGAAATTTCGCCATTGATTTAATAATTCTGAAAAAATAACATTATATATGAAGTGTACCGTCCATTGAATATATACTCATATCAAACAATTTGAGGAACGTTCTCTTCCATATATTATATTTGCAAATTCAACTGTTAAATACAATTGCCATTCAAATTATTGCTTCGGTGCCCCACTCACACTACTCGGAAAGAATTTTGCTCAAGGTTGCTTTTAATGAGGAGCAATGAAATAGCTTTTTTTGAGCTAACATACAATTTAGATGTTTGTTACATGTTTCGTGATAATTGACTAGCTTTAAATTTGGATAATTTAAACAATTCATCAGATACTGACAGAGAACACATAATATTGAGAATGACGCTGGAGATTTCTATTCCATTATAATTTTTATAGAAAAATATATCTTTGGTAGAGATGGTAGAGAAAATATATCAGAAAATAAAATTTTAATTCAGTTTTAAGCAGTAACTCGTTGTTCTTCCGAACTTGATTTTGGAGAAAAATATTATTTTTTAGTAGCTTACAATTGAGTTTTAAATGATCAATTTTTGAGTCGTTTGACTCTTTCTTCAATTCAATTGATTAACCTTTAGGGGTGTTGATATGATCTTAAAACCACTGCAATGTGATTTAACATGCTAGTTTTTCAATAATAATTCAAGAACATTTGAAAATTATTGTAGCTGCACAACATACATGTTATTCCAATTGCAGTCTGACATTGTCTGACATGAACACTTGAAAGAACTTCTCTTTCAGAATCTACTGAAGAATCATATAAATATCAATAACATTATAGTGACTCAGATAAAAAAGTCTGAGGGAGTCGGATCAGTATGTTCTGTTGGACATGCAACTTGATATATTTTCAACATTCGGAAAAATGATATTGGTAACATTTAGAAAAAAAACTCTCGACAATCAAATTCGAACATATTTCTGGAAGTTAGTTGTTGCTGGATGGCGTCAAAATAATTTTTGAACGATTTTTCACAAACTTGAATTCCAGTGGTTTATTTCAAATGGAAATGAGTTTAACAGAGTTATAGAGATATCATTTTATTGAAATAGTAGTATAAGTGTGTCCGTATATGATACTATCCTATCAGCAGCATTATTAATAAACTGAATATTTCATTATCTTAGAAACAAAAAATCTTCAATATCGAGGAGAAACTGAAAAGGAAGAATCAAGTGACTTACCTGAAGTTAATACTTTATCTCCCTGGGTCATTTTGTAATCGTCAGAAGATTCATTCATGTGTTTGAGTAAAACTATATGTCGATCACAAGTCGAGTTCAGTTCATCCTGCAAAAAAATCAAGAGAATGAATACAGATAACCAATTTTTTTTTCAACCACTCACTATTTCATTGGTTACCAAATGAGTTTCGAGACCAGCCTTAATCTGTTCGTAAATTTCCTCAGCAAAAATCAACTGGTCTCTGGAATCCGTTATCAATTGTTTCAAAGATTCCTCTTCACTGTTGGAATCCTGATTATCCTGGACCATCCATGACTTCCGTTTCATTCTTGGAGACATATCAGAAAAGGCAGACCAGTCAGACTGACTGTCGATGAAGTTTCTGTAGTCTTCGCCAAAATTTAACAGTTTTCTAGCTGCGTCTGAGTCATGAGACTCACTGTAGGGCTCAGAGAGGTAGTTTTCCTGAAAAAAGAAGAGAATAGGTTTATGGGAACTGGTAACTGTTTGGAGATGCTGACGCTCTAATATTTACAATAGTTTCTAGAAAAAGTAGGCAATTTCTATATGTGGACCAGTTCTTTGTCAAGAAATTCCTTGGTGTTACAGGGATTACCAAATTAATTCAGCTTCTTGAAGAAGTCGATCACTTTATTTGGTGAGTAATTTTTCAGGTCGGCTGGCAAGAGTGAACTCTGCCAAACGCTGAAAACCTGATTTGTCGCGCAGCGGGGTCGACACACAGTACGTGTACTACTATCAGTACGTGTACCACTATCTGGGTCTGAATTTCCTTGTAAAAACTAATCCATTCCAACGTTGACAGACCAAAACACATGTCTTTGAATCTAGTGAGGATCTGCCCTTTGCTCAGTTTGCGACTACCTTCATCGTATAGGTAAGCAACACAAATGTTTGATTTGGGAAATATGTCTCCTGTGGAACATTTCCATGACTGCAGAACACTAACTGCACCCACCAGCCAGGAGACGCTCACCTGATGCTCTAAAATCGTGCATGTACATGGAATATCCTCTTCGGCAGCCGTAATGGTATACTTAGAAGATTTCAGTTGATTGGTCGATATTGAGGTTGTCGGATGTTCAAGGTGCAAGATTCGTACCTCAATGACTGCAACAACCAATCCATATGGATCTGTAAGCCAGCAATACTTGTATGACTATACTTCAAATTTAGCAATGCAACACTTTTTGCCTCTGGTTTCGTTGAATCATCGATTAAGCATGAAGGAAAGTTTGTTGCCTCTCCTGATAGAGATTCTGCTTCTGCTCCTCAAGAATTTGATGCGAAGCAGATTTGTAAGACATCCTGCTTTCGAGCAGGCGATAAGTCGCTTCCTTGTTGCACCACCTAGTCTCCCAGGTTTGTTAATAGAATCAAGAGTTGAAGAACTGGGAAGCTCTCACTCTTGATTCGATCTTTCAGGAGGACAGTTGAGGTCGTTTTGTCGACGTCCATCTCCCCTGTAGATAAAGGATTTCTAGAGTAACTAGGGAAAGGACGTCCATGATAACAGAGCCCCGCGAGGGCGCCCTGCATCTTGGAGATTCTGTTAGTGACACTGACTGGGATCGGAGTCATATATCCTTTCAGTACGGATACACAGACTTCAGGATTAGACGTCATTTGGGCTGGGATATTATACTGCCCCACGCTGCAGGGTGCATACATGGACTGATTACACAATCAATTAGGGTCTTAAGAATTGCTATCTTGGTAATTTGATAATGGTTGGAGATTTGAACTTCATTTGCTTCAGTACTCTTACTGTATTCATCATAAGCTTACTGGATTTAGACTATACTATAGCTTCATGGCCTAATAAGGCTGCAAATTGGTTTTGTTAAAAAAGCAAGATTTTAGGTATACCATCTATCTGCTAACCAATAAAACCTAACGTGTCAAAAAGAAGCTGTACCGGTGTTGCCAAGTGGATGGGTTTCGAACTGTCAACATGCAATCTGTAAACTTTCTGATGAACACTATGTTTTGGAGTGATTCTACATTCTACCTTTCACTCTACACACTTTTCATTCGAATATACCTCACAGCGTAAAATGAGTGGAATCAGGACTTTCTGATAGGTCAGCAAAAATACCAATTATGCATTGTGTTTATGAATTAGAGGTCTGAAATTCTCATTTTTCATAAGTGAAACTATTCAATCAATGCAAAATCCAGTCGTGATGAAATGTCACTTTGTTTCAGAAAAAAAAAATCAACTTCAATCGGTTTTGAAAAGAGGAAAGTTAGATGTCACAGTGTAAGACGGTTGATATACGGGGTCTGTTCAAAAAATGAGGTGAATATTCAAATTTCGCGGGCTGCGTACATTCGATTAGCAATTTTCCTATATTGGTACACTCGTTTCGAACATATGTTCACAGTTTCAGTTGTTTAGTTTGTTGGCGAGAGGCATAGAAGTGTTTTGCCTGTTCGGCGATTTTCTGCCAGCAAATAAAATGGATCAAAGAATCTGCATGGAATTTTGGGTGAAAAATGGAGTTGTGCTTGAAAACACTCGAAATGTTCACAATGGCATACGATGATTGTACTCTGGATCAGAAAAATGTTTACAAGTGGTACAAGCTTTTCACATCCTGGAGGAGGATGTGAATGACGACGCTCGCCCTGGACGCCCCAGTACATCAACAACCGATGAAAATGCTGACAAAGTGAAGAAAATTGTTATGAAGAATCGTCGAATGACTATTACAGACATTACTGAGGATGTCGTCATATCGGTATATGAAATACTAGCGCCCTGGCCCGGCTCCATACGGGTGCAATGCTGATACTGAATATAAGTTCACCCACCGAAAATTTAAAGCATTGAGAAACATTCATGAAAACATTTGTTTTATGGACGCGCCTCTTTCCCCCGAGACTGGCTTCCCAGTTATAATATTTAAAAATCATTTCTTATTGCACATCTACAATATAAAACGAATCTACATACAAAATTTCAGCTTCCAAAAATATACAGTGATGGAAAGGTAATTTTTATATGTAAAAGGTCACCTTTTTCTCCATTGAGGGCGCCCCCAGTTGGAATTTTTGAAAATCCTTTCTTATTGCACATCTATAACATATAACAAACTTACATACAAAATTCACCCTCCGAAAATATATCTGTACGAAGAAACAGTGATAAAAAGGTAATTTTCATATGTAAACGGGCCCCTTTTATCTCCATTGGGGGCGCCCCATTTGAAATATTCAAAAAAACTTTTTTATTGCAGCACATCTAAAACATATAACAAACCTAAATACAAAACTTCAGCCACCCCACCCCAAACAGTGATAAAAAGGTAATTTTCATATGTAAACGCGCCGCTTTTATCTCCAGGGGGGCTCCCCCGTTGGAATATTTGAAAATCCTTCCATTTTACACATCTACAACTTAAAACAAACCTACATACAAAATTTCAGCCTCCAAAAATATATCGGTACAGAGAAACAGTGATGAAAAAATAATTTCCATGTGTAAACGCTCCCCTTTTATCTCCAGGGGGCTCCCCAGTTGGAATATTTAAAAGTCCTTCCATATTATACATCTATAACATAAGAAGAACCTACATACAAAATATCAGCCTCCGAAACTATAGCGGTACGGAGAAACATATATAAANCAATTTTTTTATGGACAAAATAACTTTTTCCCTATTTAGTTTGTACTTCACACATCCGTTATCGAATTTAATAAGATATCATTCACAGAAATGCTACACAATATAATATAAACAGATGAAATTTCATTGACATAAAACACTATCACCAATGGTGGACATCGAACATGTGTGTTATTTCTTCTCCAGCTACAATCTGGGCAACATTACAAGATGAAGCACTCCATTCATTCATAACATTATGACTGTTTGTCACGAATGAGTTAAAGTCTCTTATTTCCAATCTAATTGTCAAAATTAATCCTACAACTTCAAGAAAGCAATATTCCAAGAACTTTATCACCACCTAATCTTCCCCTGGTATAAAAACACATAGAGAAAATTTTCCTGCTGGTACACGCAGAACATTATTCACTATTTGAAATTGAAATCGTATTATTTATTACGCTATAAAAAAACTCGCACCGGTAGGTTTTTCAAAGATTTCTCTCGTATCAGAAGTTACATAAAAAAACAAATGAAAGTAGCTTATGATAACTACCAACATTCTGTTGAATCAAATGTTCGCAATGACCCCAAAAGCTTCTGGAATTTCGTTCAACGTAAAAAAGGATCTTCCAGAATACCCAATAGATTATTTATGGAAGCCACCATCCTAGATGCCCCTCAAGACGGTTTTGCTGCGTTCTTTAGCAGTGTTTTCTCCCACCAAACAAATCTTGATTCCAACTCTGATACTATGACGGGAGAAAATATTTTTATAACACCTTTCACAGAGGAACAAGTAATACTTTCACTTAGGAACTTATCCAATAATATGACTTCTGGATATGACCTTATTCCCAGCTTCCTAGTAAAGGACTGTGCTCAGGTTTTTGCTTGTCCATCGTCATAAATATTCAACACAATCCTAAGCAAATCTCATTTTCCTGAACGATGGAAACAATCAAAAATCTGCCCAATTCTTAAATTTGGAAAACCAGAGAATATTGAGAACTACAGACCAATATATACACTGTGTAACTTCGCGAAGGCCTTTAAGATATTTGTGTATGACCACCTAATGCCACAAATCAAACCCCTGATCTCTGCAAACCAGCATTGCTTTCTAGCAAAAAAATCCACTGTATCGAATCTCTGCAGTATCAAGCAGTTTTGGATAGAAGTAATGGACGTACGGAGAAACATATATAAACGCGCTTCTTTTACCCCCATGAGGGCGCCCCAAATGGAATATTTAAAAATCCTTTCTCAATGCGAATCTAAGCCCTAAGAAGCAGCTATGTACCAAATTTTGACTTCCTAGGACTCACCAGTACGGAGAAACAGGAATGAATGAGTGAGCGTTAAGTGGGTGACTTTCGCATTTATGAGTATATAGATACAAAAAAATATGATTTTTTCTCATAACATTTTCTGAAGACGTTATTCAATATTTTTTATCTGTGCAGGAATGTATTGTTCGAAGTTGGTTTTATGTCCGAAAGGTGTGTAAAATGGAAATAATTTTTATATTTTTTCTGTGTTGAATCATCTATTTTTTCTTGCACATTACCGGTCGATATTCAATTCATCAATTACATTTTTAGAATCTCTAATTCTACCTAAATATTCATCTCATCTTTCACACAACACGAGTATCAAGTGGATTTTACAGAATTTCATAAAAATCAAACAAAACCTCTTGATTTCAGAGTACGCTATGCTCTTAAATATGTAGGAAAATAATGGTTGATGTATTTTTGTCACTTCTCGGAAAAAGCGAGGATCATTTTCACAACATTTTTTCTAGTTGAAGTTTTCACATTATATTTTATATCATAAATTTGCAGTAATTTCAAACCGTTCAGGACACCGTTAAACATGTGGAAAAACATATTTACCATAGCCTTCTTCTTCAGTTTGGACTTCTTTTTTCGCATCGGCGATGCTTTTTCTGTTATGAGAGGTGGTATTTCTTCGACAGTGGAAGACGTCGAATTATTCGAATTTATGTTGACGTTATTACTGCTAACTGTGGAAAATGACGTGGAAAACCTATACTGTTCTTTAGGATTGAGGTTCATTCTGTGAAGTGCTGACTCTGATATGGAAAAACTGTTGATACTGAAAAAGAAAATGTTATACAAACGTAATTTTGTAGTCAAAGTGGTTCTTATAACGTTTTACAGGTTGTGTAAAGGTCTTGGATGATGAACGTTAACAACATAAAAAATCTATGTTTCTACCAAGGTGGAGATTTCTATATCAATTCGAAGGTATAAAAAAACAGAGAACTTCTCCATGTTGAGTATCAGTACAAACTGTGCTAGATTTTTTCATCAGAAGTGACGGAGAACACTAAGAATGTCCATGGAATTCCAATTTCATTACTTCTTCAAGTAATGAAAGCAATTAGAGGAACGAAAATATACATAGTTCAATCTGGAAAGGAACAATAGAGAACATTTTCTGATTTCATGGAAATTTAGGTTTTTGTTTTTCAAATCAGAGTGGAAGATTAGATAACGTATCATCTTCAACCAAATGTCATGTCCCATTCTTGCCAAAAGCATTGAAAACATTTTTTGTTTGTTTTTGACAGAAACTGATAGATTTTTGCGAAAGAATGGTTTTACTTTCTTCTTCTTTATCTCCACACAAAAAATGTGGGAAACTTCCAAAGGAAGAAAAAAAGCAAATCATTTCAAAATAAACTCTGCAACCCCTGATCTCTGCAAACCAGCATTGCTTTCTAGCAAAAAAATCCACTGTATCGAATCTCTGCAGTATCAAGCAGTTTTGGATAGAAGTAATGGACAGAAAAGGGCAAGTTGATGTTATATTCACAGATTTTACAAAGGCCTTCGACAGAATTAGTCACTCCATCTTACTAGAGAAAATAGCTCAAATGGGTTCAAATATCTTACTAACTCAACTTCTACGCCCTTATTTGGATCAGAGAACCAATGTAGTTTTTATAATGGATTTGCGTCTGCATCATACTTATCACCAACCGGTATGCCACAAGGCTCCAATCTGGGACCCCTGCTTTTCCTCATCTTCATAAATGATCTCACCCCCGAGCTTTCGTGTGGCAACTTAATTTTTGCAGACGACTTGAAAATCTTTTCATCTATCACAAGTTTATAGAGCTGTTTTTACCTCTAGTCCCAATTAGACCTGATAGATACCTGGTGTCAAATCAATAAATTGACAATGAATGTTAAAATGTGCAATGTTTGCTCTTTTACACGTAATGCCAATATTATTGAGTATTTTTATACTTTCGAGGATGAAATACTCCTTCGCGAAGAAGTTGTCAAATATCTAGGGGTGATGTTCGACAACAGGTTGACATTTGTTGGCCACACCAATACTGTCGCGGCCAATGCTTGGCTTTGTTCTGCACAACTGTAAATCATTCATCAATATTACCGCCTTAACCATACTTTATAGGTTGGTAAAAAAAGATTTTGGCCTTCTACTTCTCCATCTCAATACAAAAAATGTGGTAATCTTCCAAAGTAAGAAAGAAAGCAATCAATTCCAAAATAAATCCTTTATAAACATGTGCAGATCATGCATTTTCAGATAAAAACCAAAAGAAAAAGCCCCCTCGAAACAAATTCATACTTTCTGAACGACAACTTTTGTATGAATATTGAAAAGGAAGAAGTGTTTTTTGTACAAGCATCGGCTTATCCTTATATTGCCGCAGGAGTGAAGTAATTCTACCGCTTTTTTGTGAACCATTTCCTAAATAGATTCTAACTGAGTTGTGATCACCACAGTCAGTATCGAAAACCTAATTGAAGATCATCAGCCGCTTGGTCACCTGAAAAATACTCCAATTCCTGCTCTTTCAAAGTGGCGAACCATGAAGAGAAAGAGACTGATGACTTCACAGGCTCCATCCACCACCATTCTGTTATGTAAACACTTCAAACTCAAAACTCCACGGCCTCCCACGGTCTCCACGAACGATTTGGGATGCGAACTCCAATGAAGACGCATTATTTTTTGGGTCTTTACGTCCAGATGACACGGCTGCTGAGCTGTATCAAATGTATCACTACTCCAAACCAGTGAAGTGAAATCAGATCGGCAAAAATATTTATAGTAGAAACTTTGTTTTATTTCCGACAGTTTAGTTAGATAAGCAGATCTGTCGGAGTTTGTGCTGGCACCTGCCGCGGTGAAAGTTTTTCACAGAGGTTATTTCTTGTGTATTGCAGATTTAATGTGAACAAAACCAAAGTAGTTGGAACCTAATGCCTCTTTTTTAGTGTGGCCAAATAAGAGGCGGCTTTTGCTTCCTAGATGAAACCAGAGCCTGAAATTTGTGATTCTATACCAGACTATGCCTTTCTATCGTGAATATTTTCGAAATTCCACGTTTGGGTCACGAGTACAACGTTCCCAATAAGAACAATCTTGAGTGATAAGCGAACATGACCCCTACGAAGAGATGTCATCTATGGGTCGACAAGAAACTCTAACCTTTCCTTCCAAACCTCAACATCGAACCCCAAATGTGAAATCATTTTCTGTATCTCCTATTCCGCGCCCTCAAATAGATAAAATATTGAACTCCTGTAACTTTGTGGCAAGAAGAGTTATACAATCAAAAACTTACCCAGGAGTAGAAGAAACGCCTTCGAACGGAGTCATTGATTCCAGCCACTGTCTACTTCCTTTACTCGAGTTTAGTTCGTCGAACGAGGTGTTTTGCGAGTTTGAATACTCCCGCAAGGTTGTCGAACTTTCGTTAAAATCCTCGGAGGTTTGAGATTCTCTTTCGTCATCTTCGCCGCTCGCGTCACAGCTGTCGTCGGGTTTGTCCAGAGCGATCCACGTATTCATTCTAGTTATTTTGTTGAGGCTCCTCCTATCGGCGCTCACCAGCTCCTCGACTTTCTGTACAAGTTTCCGTATTTTCTCTTCTGGAATGGATTTTGGTCGGACCTGGGTGAAGTTCTTTTCCCGAAGCTTCACTTTAGGAGGTTCGTAGGGGTTAGTATCTTCGTTTTTCGTTGGAGAGTTTGATTCTTTCGTTTCTTGGTGTTTCGTGTATCCTTCTTCCGAACATTCGTCTTGAGTGTTCTGCGCGACGGTTTCTTCTTCTTCGATGGCACTTTGTTGCTCGACTTTATCCATGCTCGAATCTGTGTCTTCGTGTTTGAAATAGTAGGTTGCCAAGTTCGGTGCTTTTTTATCTGAACTCGTATAGTGAGAAGTGTCTTCTGGTATGTTACAATTGATTACATCTAGATCGACTTCTTTCTGGTCTTTAGTTTCTCTGTGTTTGTTTCCAGTCATTACGTCATCAATTAGAACAGTTGAGTCATCCTGAAAAAAAAAAGATTATTTAGTGGACCAGATACCACGCTGCGTTAGTGATTAGATGCTGCAAAAAAGTTGTAAATTGAATACAGTAATTATAACTTACGGGTAACCTGTCGAAGAAGTGTAGTAAAATCAAGTGTTAATTTGTCTACGACTTGAGTATATAGAAAATAATCAATGTTATCGGTGCTTTGAGTTTTTATAGTTATTAATAGTGACGGAGAAAGCTATTTAACCAGAAATGAAAAACATGTGGATTTTGTAATGATACGAGGAAATAGTTTTTTTGTTTTACTCGATACTGATGTTCAAGGTGAAACAATTTTATCGAATTTGATGAATAGGTGCGTAGCTGTGAAATTTTCATTTGCTTTATTTTTTTAAGAAAAAACTGAACTGCACTGCAGAAAAATCCAATGGATTTGAATCGCTGGAGATTAAATCCATTTGGAAAAACGTTTATTCAGAAAGTTTATTCCACATAAACGCAGTTCTCCAAATGAAAGAGTTCTTGCACAGTAAAGTTCGAGGTGTAGTGAGTTGAACCTCAAAACGTCGCGTATTTCTGATATGTACCGCTCTTTGTGGAATCAAATGTGCCATGAATACTTCCCGTGGAAGCATCTATAGAAGAGAGACAAATCTGCAACCTTTCTTCGATGTACCAAACTATCAAGGTTGCAAGTGATGTTCGCGTCTCCAATCCAGCAGCTTCAGGGTATGTTTGGGGGTCTGATCTGAGCTTTATAAACCATCATATATTGCTGAGGTGTGTACAGTTTTCTGATTCGGAACAGTGTTCCAAGATTTTGAGAAGTGTCTTGACTGTGATATGACTTCATGTATGGAAAATCTAATTCTAAATCATTCCTAAGAAACATCTAATGAGTTGAACAACATAAATGCAAGAACAGGGTTTTCAGAACTGAACGCATTGAAATCATTTTCAGAGAAGAGCTTCAAACCAATATACGTGGACTATTAAAAAAAATGTGAATATTCAAACTTCGCGGGCTACGTATATTCGATTAGCCATTTTTTATTTTTTTATGTTGGTAAACCCGTCTCGAACAGATGTTCAGCTGTTCAGCATGCTTTGTTTGCTGGTGAGACACATGAAAGTTGTGTAAAAAATGGAATTAAGTGCTCAAAAACACTCTAGTTGTTGACAGTGGCATACGGTGATTGTACTCTGAGTCATAAAAATGGGTACAAGTGGTACACGCTTTTCACAGAAGGTCGAGAAATTGTGAAAGACGATACTCACTCTGGACGCCCCAGCACATCAAAAACCGATGAAGATGTTAGGAAAGTGAAGAAAATTGTTATGGAGAATCGTCGAATCTTCATGAGAGGAGTAGCTGAGAATATAGGCATGTCGGTCGGCTCATGGCTTGCAATTTGTTCGAAAATTTTAGTCATGAAACGTGTGGCATCAAAGTTTGTTCCAAAATTGTTGAATTTTCACCAGGAATTTCCGAATGACGTCAACGGCGATCCAAATTTGCTTAAAAGAGTCATAACTGGTGACCATTCATGGGATTCATGGTTATGACATCGAAACCAAAGTATAATCGTCCCAATGGAAGAGCCCAGGAAAGCCAAGGCCAAAAAAAGCACGCCAAGTTCGATCAAATGTCTAGGTGGCTTGGTGCATCAGGAGTTTATGTCACATGGAAAAACAAATGAATGCTTTTGCATCATGATAATGCACCTGCTCACTCGTCATGGCTTGTTTGTAAATTTTTAGCCAAAACCAACACCGTAATTATGCCTCAGCCATCGTTTTCACCAGATTTGCACCCCTGCGACTTTTTCCATTTTTCAAAATTGAAGAGACCCGTGAAAGGACGGCGTTTCGCGACGATTGAGGTTATAAAAACCGAATCGCTGAAAGAGCTCAATGACATACCAAATAGTGCATATCAGAACTACTTCGAGGATTGGAAAAAACGCTGGCACAAGTGTATTATATCTGATGGGGACTACTTCGAAGAAGACAAAATCGAAATTGATGAATGTCAGGCACTGCATCATCATGTTCTCCTAACTCTAGACTACATTTACGTGTCCTGAAATATACACCATTTTTGTAAAGATTAGACAAATGTCTAAGCTCCTAGAACAGTTCAGTCAGATTTATCTGAAACCCAGATAGAAATCAAAAACCTACCAATAACATATGTACGTCAACTCAATCGAAAAAAATTTCAATTAGATTTATGTAAGATAAATAACTCGCACATAGTGTAGAACCTGAGTATGAACCTCGTTCTCTAAAATAAAAATTATCCTGGTCGATGTTGAAATAAAGGTTAGACTTTCTTCTACGCATTTGTTATAATTTTTCTGAAGATATAAACATGAAATATAGTGTATTAAAATAGAATATGGTAATATTCTTGAACTTTCCGTTAATAAATCAGATAAAATGCGAAATATTCAAGTTTTTGGGGTCTGAAGCTATTCAAAAATGGTTTGTTAAACAATCATATTTGTCAACACCTAGAGATAGATACAAGGTTGAATGTATTCATCAACAGTTTGTGAGTGAAAGAGTTTGAACACAACTAGTCGAAGAGACAACTATCGTGTTCCGTAATTATATGGGAATAAATTTATACAATGCTGAAGCAGACACAACGACCATTCTTCGAAGGCATAAACAATAGCTTCGTAAAGGACAATTATGCGGGCTTGCATAATGTCACTCTGGTCTACAGATCTGTTCAGTTTAGAAAACGACGTCATGCAGTATTTAATAAAGAAATTTCGTTCGGTATTTGTAGTATTCAATACAAGAATACTCTCATCATAGTTGGATAAGCTCAAAACATCTGAGTTTTTCGTTGTTTGTTGAATTTCAATATGTTAGAATTAAAAAATTTTTCAGCGTTGAGTATATTTTTATTGGAAATTGGTAAAAGGCAAACACACATGCATCTTCATGTACATATTATGAAAAGCAGGATCCCCAGATAAGGTAGGAACTTGGCTAACCCCTCTCTTGACAAGTCCAGTTTGTCACTTCTGTAGAGGTCACGTATGTCATAGAAATATAGTTTTTCAATCAACACATTATGAGAAACAGACGTGCTTGTAAAGTGAAATAACCATTCATTGTATCACACTACCGCACAGTGGCAAAAAGATAAACTAGTTCATCATTCCTGAGCAGAGTAAGACATAAAACAGCACGTCAACAATAAGAAGGGCAGTGGTATAATCATGGGTTGCCCTGTAAGATCTATTTATTCCAGCGCAAAAATGGAATTATGAATAATTTCAATAATAATATGACTTATGTTCTGACTCGAATATTAGTGAGCACTGTCATATAACCCTTGCGGCAATGTGTAATCAAGAATTCATTAAGTTGAATATGTGACGGAAGTTATTCTATCATCCGTGAATGCATATATTCCTTTTTCAATGAAACGAATATCTAACGGCCAACGTTGGTTCAACAAAGATTGCGAGCAAGCTGTCGACTCCAAAAATGGGTCTGCCTAACAGCAGTTGCGCAAAAATCCCAGTGACGAAAACAGAACTAGGTTTGTTAATGCTCGCAACAGCTGCAAACTTAGAATAAATGAAAGCAAAGAATTAGGGATAAACTGCTTGTCAATCTCAACTGGTCTAGATCCTTCTGGTCGGTAGCTGAAGCTGTTAATTAAAAATTTACAAAAGCCACAATTCCACCACTAACACGATCGGGTGGTTCAATTGCAACAACAGTCATAGAAAACGCAAATCTACTAGCTGAACAATTTGCGTCCCACTCCACTCCCACTTCCGGGAAAAGCACCACCCACTATCCCACACTAAAATCCATACTGCCGAAAATTACTTTTCGACGTCTAGTCAGGCGAATTTTGAAACAGCTTGATATCAACAAAGATTCTGGTCCTGATGAAAGACCCGTCATCTTACTTAAAAAGTCCACCAATGAACTCACACCAGTATTTTGCAGACTTTTCAACCTGTCTTACAAGAAAGGGATTTTTCCTTATTATTCCTTGTTGGAAGATTGCTCATGTTTAGCCTATTTCCAAAAAGGGCAAGAAGAACCTTTCAAATAACTATGGACCAGTCGCTTTGCCAAAAATCCTCAAACCACCATATATTTGGAAGGCTCTAACCTTGTTATCCTCAGAATGACTTTCGGAAACAAAGATCAACAGGCGACCTTCTATCGTATGTCACCCATATTTTAAATAACGCAATCGAGAATCATGGAGAGTCAAAAGCTGTTGCGGTTTTTGTGTATGCCTCTCCAGGCATACACATACGTTCCCTACAACTAGCCGTCGATGGATATCTCTCGAATAGTTTTACCATCAACGCTGGTGTTCCCCAGGGGTACATATTGTCTCCAACCCTCTTTTTATTGTATATCAATGATTTATTGGAAAAAAAACAAGAATCCAATATATTGCTTCGCTAACTACAACACCCTTGCCTCGACATTTCATTTGGATTCCAGGACATCGGCTGTGGATGCATGACTTCATCGGCAGCAAGAGGTTGCACCAGGTTCAATACAATGCCACGTAAACAGAGGAATCGGTTTTCTACAAAGAGATAAATGTCTCCAAATCGGATATAATGTGAGGACAGATAATTCCGCTTTCTACTTCCATAAGTTTATTGGGGGTTAAAATGAACATCGATATGTCTTGGCACAATCATGTAGCTGGAAATGCTAAGGCTGCTTCTCAAAAGCTTGAAACGCTGCTCCGAACCAAAAAAAAAGCTTTATAAAGCTTCTTTGGTGTATTGATCTCATGTACGGAGCTCCGCCCCTAAGCATACCCTAAAACTGCTGGATTCCATCCAGAAAAGAGCCATCCGCCTGATTGGACACAAGAACATCACTTGTAACCTTGATAGTCTAGAACATCGAAGAAAGGTTGGATATTTGTCTCTTTTTTATAGATACTTTCACGAGAGGTGTTCAAGTGACTTGGTACATTCGATTCCACCAAGAGCGGTTCATATCA